CCTAAGGATCTAAAAGTCACGAAGAGAATTTTATTTCCTTGGTGAAATGTCATTGTTGGAAGAATCTAATTACCTTGTTGCACTGTCATTGTTGGGAAAAGAATCTGATTGTCTTGGTGCAATGATGATTTCTTCAATGCTCATAATGATGAAAACAAAGAAAGACTTATATCTTGTGGAGACTAAATTTGTGATTGTCCAGGATGACATATATAAATGATACATCTGCATAACTAAAATAGTTGGAAGTGTTGAGCAGTTTGTCTGCAGCCACAATTTTTTTGAAGAAACCAAAATATATTAATAAGACAAAGCATCAGTGCAATAACTTACAAACCAACGTTGTTCCAACCAAAATACAATACATAAACTCGTGAAATCCATCAAAACTTTACTGCCAATTAATGACCCTTAGATTAATCAAGAAATTTTTTCTATTATGAGGGATTTTTTTAGTTTATATATTTTAGTAAAATAATTGGAAGTGTTGAGCAATTCAGATTCCCCGCTGCCACAAAATCACTTTCCAAAAACTCAAATACAGAATAATACATATATTATTTTCTTATATATCAATATTATGTTTTGGATTCAACTTATAACAATAACTTATCCTTATTTTAAGAAATATTTTAAAAGAGACGAATTTAAGACTCATTTTGAACTAAAAATTCTAATAACACAACAATCTATTATTAATATATTAAATTAGAATCACATATTGAGTTTCTATTTAAAATTACAAGTTCAAATTCTAACAAATTCAAAAATATGTTATCTTAACACACACAAACACACACGTAGACATGTGCGCGCACACACATAAACACGTATTATTTTTATAGAAGATTATTTATATTTTATTGCATTTATTTTTTAATTATATAAAAATAATATATAAGAATTTTCAATATATATTTTTAATATAATGTCTATTAAAAAATTAAAAGTTATTGTACTTCTTCATCATTGTTGCACCCCAAAATTTTCCCTCCTAATTTCTTTTATTTTTGGCTTATACTTTTGCATTCATCTGCATCTATTTCATTAGGTCACTAACATGACATACATTTCATTCAATATAGCTCTAAGGTTCAAAGTTCAGTGGTTGTGCGATACTAGGGTTTCACAGTGGTTAAGGCACTCGTACCCAATAAAAGATGATTTCTTATTCAGGCAGCAAGTTGTGGAATTAAGGTTTTGGTTCATTCTCATTATTGGACTTCTTCTCCCTCAAGCAACAAGGCTATTATCTTCTTATAAACAACATGTTACAGGTTTTTCTTTTCAAGAACTCAAGGGCGTGACTTAGCATACATGGTCTTCGAATCAAGACGTTTCCTCATATAAGTGTGCCTATCATTTGATCAGGCTTAATGACTTTCACATGGCATTCATCCACTCTTTAATTAACCAATTCAGGTTTTGTTGAATCATGGTTTAGAGAATCATTGGTTGTGAAGCTCGGGCTTTCTTCTGGTTCGAGGTGTTTATCAAACTAGACTGATTCTTCTGGTACATTGAATTGTGAATTTAGGGTTTTGATTGATGGTTGTTGTGGATTTCTTCTTTATCAAGCTACGAGGTTATTCTCTTCATCTCAAAATCAAGTTGCAAGGTTTTTATTTGTTAAGTCTGAAGATTTGGGTTCATTTCCTTATGTCTATTGGAAGATCATGCTTTGTTTCATTTCGAAGACATTTTGAACATTATTCTATCCATGTCTCAAGTCGTCACTGCGCACCTAATACAAGTGGGTGCTCTAGGAGGTAAAATTTTATTTACTACGCATAGCCACTCGATTGCTCCCATGACGGGAACCGTTTCCTCGAACAACTTAGAAAGCCTTTCTCTTGAAGATTCATTTTCTATATTTTTTAACGGGCCTTTAAAGAAGGAGAAGCAAGGAGGTATCCACATTTGGTAAATATTGGAAGGGAAATTGTGAAAAAATGTGGTGGGGTTCCCTTGGCAGTGAGAACAGTTGGGAGTTTACTTTTTTCAAAATATGAAACAATTCGGTATAGTTGGGAGTTTACTTTTTTCAAAATATGAAACAATTCGGTATTGGGGAAACATGAAAGACAACGAAATTTGGAATTTACCGGACACATATGGGATTTTACCTGCACTTAAGTTAAGCTATGATAAAATGTCATAGGATATGAAGAAATGTTTTGCTTTGTTCTCCATTTACCCAAAGTGTCATGCATTTGATAGTTTTCATGTAACATCACTATGGAGAGCCCTTGGTTTTCTTCCAACTCAAAACAGAAATCAAAATCAAACGTTGAAATATAGTGCCAACCAATATTTGTTTGAACTGCTGTCAATATCTTTTCTTCAAGATTTTGTCGTTTATGACATTGGTTTCACTTTCAAAATGCATGATTTGGTGCATGATCTAACTATGTATGTTGCAAGTGTGGACTTTAGGGGAGCTATTAAAGTTTTTGTACATTATGATGTGAGAATCTTTTGACATCAAATTGAACATCGCTTTTATACTAAACAATTCAATGTTCAGTCCATTTCTAATCTAACTATCCACCACCATGGATGAATAAAGGCTTCATTTTGAAAAGGATAAGGCTTTGGCACGACGGTTTCAACCTGATTGGATCAATGAGCCAAGTGAGGATGATGCAATTAACATACTCATGGGTATATGTGATAAATTTGAGGAACATCACAAATGCATATATACGAAAGATGCCATAAAGGCTGCAGTTCATTTGTCAACAAGATACATAGCTGATAGGTATCTACCTAATAAAGCTATTGACCTCATAACAGAAGCTATTAGAAGAAACCCATTTACAGTGTTATTGTTTAATGAAATAGAGAAAGCTCATTCAGATATATTCAATATTCTTCTTCAATTAATGGAGGACGGCCATCTTACTGATTCTCAGGGTCGGAGAGTTTTGTTTAAAAATGCGTTGGTGGTGATGACTTCAAATATGGGATTCTCTGTTGCGAGACTTGAAGAAACAGGTCAAATCCAACAGAATCAAATTAGAGGTGTCTGAATCAGTGAAGGAGCTTGTCTGCAAAGAAGGCTATAACCCAACATATATACATGTTAAAGGGCTTCATGACAAGGCTATGGTATCTCACCTTCATTTTCACCTTCTAACAACCTTCATCCTCACCACTGAAACTTAACACCCCGAGCCTCTGCAACCTCGCCATCTTCATCGCTTCAGCATTTTTCATCTTCAATCTCTACTATTGATTCAAAGTCAAATCTTTAATCTACCATCAATACGCTTCGTTCAATTTTTCTGCACAGATAAAAAAAAAGGAAACATCGATGTTATAAGAATGTATCAACACAATAATTTCTGCATTCTCAGTTTCAACGCAACAAAAACACGAGAGCAGAAAAAGTAGAAGAGACAAGATAAAGAAAAAAAAAGTAGAAGGGAAAGTTGTGAAATTGGATCATCCTAATGAATCTAAGGTTATCTCTGTGAATAAGGAAAATAATGTAGCCAAAACAAAGAAAAAACCCGCAAACTAATTCAGTAACTAATTTTCCAGCTCATCTCTAACAACCAATCATAAACTACCTTCTAACCGCCTAATCAATTTCTAATTAACTCATTCAACTGCCCTAACTGAATTCTAGCATTTTTTTCTAACTAACTTTCACAAACTTAACAAACTTCCTCCAACCTCCAAACTAATTTTAACTAATTCCATAACAGAATTTTATAACCAAACTCCTAACAGCTCTACAGTATAAGATAGAGTAAATTCACCTTGGTTGAAGGGGGGGTTTGTTCAGAAATTCCACAGAAGAAGGTGTCTCATCTTCATCCACAAAAAAAACTCCAGAAAATTTCTCAAGAAAGTTCAAGAAAAGTTAGAGAAAAATTTACCTCTTTCATGATTCATTCTTCAAGCATTCTGAAAAAGCACCATCATAGAAACTTTCTGGCTTCTTCTCATCTTCATTTTTATCTTCTCTCTGCACTTTCTCTTCTAACTGTATTCTCTACATCAAATCCATAGAAGAGTTCATGAAGTCTCCGAAAACTTTCTGCTTCAATCCACAGCAAACAACACAACATTCTCTACATCTTCATCAATTTTTGCATCCTGATCTTTGCACAGATTCATCATCCTCATCCTTTGACATCATCAACTTGCAAGCAATCACATCTTCTTCACGAGTTTCACTCATTTTCTTCCAACGCGTTTAATCGATCTTCTTGATTCAAGTCATTGACCTGCAAACAGTTATAACCAAACAAACAGAGTTTCCAAATTCCATCTTCTAACCAACTCTACAGAAAATCCAGTTTTCAGGGGAAGAATCAGAATTCATTACTAAAAAAAAAGATCATAGAAAAAGCTTGAAGGCTTACCTTTATTTTTCTCTGCAAATTGTTGATCCTTTTTTTTATTGCTTCAAGCTTCAGACTGATTCATCTTTGTGTAAATCGTCTTCTTCACATCATTATCGTTTTCTATGTTCATCAGCATTTAGCAAACCGCAAAAACCGCATCTACACCTTCTTCTATCTTCATCAACTTGTTATCAACCTTCAACGATAAAACCTGCAATAACCGCACCAACAACATTAATTATGTCGCATCATCGTGTTCATCATCTTCGAATCAATCTTCAGCTTCTGCAAATCGCATCATCATCTTTTGCAACATATATGCAATAGCGTCAAATCTTCATCATTCTCAAGTTTTGCCATCAACAATCTGTGTTTTATCAACAATTTGAAATCAATAAAAAGGTGCAGAAAAGATACAAATAACGATGTATAACAACGTCAACGTACAACACCAACGCGACGCATCACAACAATTGAGAAACGCAGCAGCACACGAATTGTGAGAGGAGGAAGAAGAAAGGACTTGAATCAAATAAGTAAAGCTCAAGAAGATACCTGGAGAAAAATAGATATGATTTTCCACATCTAATCGCCGATGTCAAAGATGCGTCAAACGAACTCCGATCGCTTTGAAGCTTCGCGTTATCTGCGAGGTTCCGATGTAGGCTGAGACGATGTTGAAGATGAGACAAAACTGAGACAGAATCGGAGGAGAAAGCGTCGTGGTGGACAGCCCCGCCGTGGTGAGGTATCGGAGAGAGAATAGATCTTCGTTCGCAGAAATGGAAAGGATCGATCAGAGAAAGAGGGAAGTGGAACCGCTCGCGATTCAATCGGAGAAGAAGATGGAGGAGTCATGGCGTCGCGACGTGGAAGGAAGAAGAAGACGGCGGAAAGGGTTTCCCGCGGCGCCGTTGTTGAATGAAGGGGACAACCCATCTAACCCTGACTTCATATTCTCATTCCTTTCAATTTTATTTTTCTTTTTTTTTATTATTTATTTATTTCTGATAAAACAATAAAAAATAAGGATAAGCTAGGAATTATTGTTGGACTGAAACTATTATTCCTTTTTTTTAGCCCACACTGCACCTTTCTTTTGGAGCTTGGAGCTTGCTACAAAAATGCATTCTGGATCCTTGCTAAGATGGGCCTAACACCCTGATTTCAATACTACACCCCTTGTCCTCATAATCTTTAGGATTTTAACTTTGTATATAATTTTGTATATTTTTTATGGTAAAAAAATTCAAAAATCCATAAAAACTTGTTAGTTTTGATTTAGGAATTAATTCTTGTTGGTTTGTTAGAATTTTCTCTATAAAAAAAATATAATAATAATAAAAAAGTGGTAGTATATAATTGAATTTTTTCTAGGATTTCTTTTTTAGAATTTTAATTAGAATCTTCTATTAGCGTTTATGTTTAGTAACCATTTTCGTTTTCATCTTTAACCAATATTTCGTGATGGTAATGATGCAATCTTTGCAGTATGGAATGCTTGGAGGTTAAGTATTTAATCACTCACACGGGGCATTTTCTGTAGAGTTTTCTTATCTTTTGCGTGGCTTTAAAGAGGCAACGGACCCCCTCCGTTCGGTATCGTCACAACTCTATTTTTGTTCTTCATTTCCATACTTTACCGTAATCCATGTGCATGCTAACATTAGGTAGACGTTTCCCTTTTATTCATCCTTGACTTAGGTCTAACAACGCATGATAAAATTAGGTTTAGAAATAGGCTAGTCTTCATGTTACTTTCTTTCCCTTCTGCATACGCATTTAAAACAAAAACCTTCTTTTTTACAAAACTTCAAAATATTAAAAATTGTACTGACAAGAATCATATCTTCGTTAAGTATGTAAGATGATAAGCGGGTTTCTTCTCGACCTTATTGTTCTCTTATTCTAAGGCTTGGCGTGATTCAAGTCTCAAGAAATCATTTCATGAATAAGTAGAGACATGGCTAAAATCTCTCCCTTGAGATTAATTAGCTATCATTTACAAGCAAAAATATCAACCAATACAAACTCTTGTGGCCTTCGGGCCTTCCTTTCAAAAAAACATTTTTCAAAAGAGCATATTAATTCACTTTTGTGCTGACGCGTAAATCTCTAAAGGTCGAGTTGCGGCAGAAGGCGAAATTACTATCGTTCATTCAAAAACAAACAAGTTCAAACCTTTTTGTGCGTCCAGGCACATTTCTTTCCAAACTTTTCAAGAGAGCATGTTAATTCACTTCTGTGCTGACGCGTAAGTCTCCAAAGGTTGAGTTGCGGCAGAAGGCGAAATTAATATTGTTCAGTAAAAAAATACAAACAAACAAAAACATGTAAGCCGAACTACGGCTGCTCTGATTCCTTAAAAGGGATACGTAGGCATTGGGGTAGGGCCCGAGCGAGCACAACATTTTATTTTCCCTACATTCTTTTCTCCTTTTCTTTTGCATGCATTCTCCCTTCAGTGGTATAGTAGACAGTAAGCATAGATTAAACACACCCATAAGATAGATAACAAGAGTGGATACCGTAGAATACTACGGGTGTGTGGGGTGTTAATACCTTCCCCTCGCGTAACAGACTCCCTTACCCTTATCTCTTGGTCGTTCGAACTTGATTTCATCCTTCTCGGGTTTTCTCGATGTTTACCTTTCCCTCCCTGTGGGATAAAAGACGTTCGATGGCGACTTCATTGTTTGATGATTTTCAGCTGGTTGTTTCAGCTGGCGACTTCACTGGGGACAGGTCGACCAAATGCTGGTCCATCCCGGAGTCGCTCCTAGATCTTGCTTTCTCTTCTTTGGGTGTTTATTTTTATGCTTTCAGTTTACTCATTTGTACATGTTTATCTGAGCATAAGCTTGCATTACATTTTATTGCTTTCCCTATTTGTCATCTATTATGCTGGACTCTGTTTTCCATGTTGGGCGGGGATGTTACTATTGAGGTAAAAGGCCTAGTACCCAGGCCAGAGTGCACTAGGACACCTAGGAATAGAGTGGGGGCATGACGGCTATAGGACGTGGTCCGATTAGTGCAGTCATGTCATATACCACGCTCGGATGAGGTTCAAATGAATTACTATCGGCACCCACGTCTGTGGGTAAGCCCATAGTGCTTTCAGGCGGACCTGTGATTTTCGAGTTACCATTGTCTTACCCTGACCTAGTCTTCACCCGTGAGTGGGGAGGGATTTGTCATTACAGGTACAGTTGGTGCTATGTTCAAATGGTTACTCATGCTCAGATGGAGACTGTGATCAGATGGTGATTAGTGGTTCTAATGATCATGTTATGGACTTCTGTCAATGACTTATGCATATGGTGTTCTGTTGGTGACCATATGGTTCTCAGATTTATTTTCTGAGTTCCTGACTTGCTTACTTGGAAGTTCATTCAAGCCTTTGATCTTGGCATTCCCAGCATACTCAGAAATGCTCAAACAGTACCTGATGTTCCTGAAGCCTTGATCTCATGCTACTTAGATCTACATGGTACTCGGCTTTTATATGTGCAGAAGCTATGTCGAACCTTTGATTTGATGATATTCATATGGTTCAGAATAACGCAGCAATCATATTTGGAAATGATGGAACCTTGATCCCATTTGATCTCATATCTGTGCATACATAACATGGTTAACCACATACTTAACATACATGTCCTGTGATTTCCAAGGAATCGTATTTGTGAGCCTAGTGCCAAGCTTTTCCATCTTTTACTTACGTAAAATCAAAGCACGTAAATTCCTTGGGAATGAAGGGACATAACACGGCATCTATTCATGCACTCCATGCATATTCATGCATCCATAACAGGTACTCAAAGATTGGGGATTCTTATTCAGACATGGTTCTCCTTGGAGGTTTAACTTTGATTTCTTACTGCACTTGTTCAGGGATCGGTTATGGAATAACTCTGAGTGATATACATGCAAGCTTTGGCCCGTGGTCAGAAATCTCTTCAAGCAGGAAGATAATTGATTGAAAACTCAGATGAGCCAGGTCATGAAAGTTCTGATGATGATGTCAACAATCTTGCACCTACTATCACAGCAAGAGATGGTTCCCATTTACTGTAGGATCTTATATCAGTGCTTCGTTCTTATTGACCAACGTCAGATGTGGTCGCCACGCCGGGGCATCATACCTTCTAATCAGGGGCATCCTCCATAACTTTGTGTTCCCTAATTTATTCAACAAGAGCCAGTCTTTATTCCCCAAGTGAATTCATGGGGAAAGTTTTTAAGCCAAGACACAAGAACCCTGATGAGCATGCTAATGCGAGCCCAATGCATTACATCCTATTATTCCCAGTTCTTCCCAGCTCTGATCTTTGAGGACTTCCTCCCACAAATGTCTCTTCTGATTACAATATGTATACTAGATGCATCCCCTATTATGGGGTACCCGTTTTGATATTGAAGATTACAAAGGGGTTGAAATATAAATCCCAGCACCTGTTCGGCGTCTCTTCCAAAGGTCCAAATTCCTTTTTGGCCAATTGCCACATTCTTTATCACCAGGTGGATGTCTCTTTTTGTTTTGATAGAAGACATATTGTATTAGTTTTTTGTGGCGTAGTATGCCTGATGATGCAGTTTTCACTTGAAAAAGCATTCAGTTGTTCTCCTGAAAGAATATTCTATGCATATTATTCTGGGGCGATTGATCATTCGATTAAAGATGGTATGTCATCCAGAGACAAGATCCAATACGAGATCAATACGGAGACTGTGGTGTCCAAATCATATCAGAGGGAGAATTTTCTCACTCACTTCATGCATCTTCATGCATCCATAGCAGGAACTCAGAAGGTACTCAGAATAGGGAATCCTTATTCGGACTCGGTATTCTCTTTTCAAGAACTGCCAATCTTGACTTCCCACCACTCTGTGATCAGATTCAATTTATGAAACAATTTCGTGAGGAATTGGATTCGATGAAAAGAATCAGATGGGGCTATTTAATGGGGACATGCAAGTATTGGCCTGTAGTCAGAAATCCTCAAGGAGAAAAATAGCCAGTTGAAGACTTAGTTGAGTCGAGTATGGAATTTATAAAGGTAGTATCAGCAAGGGAAGGTGATCTTGTATACGTTGTTGTAACAGAAGCTGTCATTCATCCCCAGCCTATGGGACTTTTTTTTCAAATCATGAGATACTTTATGGGTCTCACCCAGAGCTTCGTGTTCTCGGATTTCCTTGCTAGCATCTAGATTCTGGTCTCCGAGTGAACTCAGGGCGTAAAACTTACCAGCAGAGATAAAAGAAAGCTGGAGAGGCAGGTTGATAAAATCTTTATACCTTGTATCCAGTTACTTCCTTGTATGTTGGAAGCTCAGTTGATTAAGCTTCGTGCTTTGGGCCATCCTCCAACAAATTTCTCTCCTGATTTCGATACAAATGCTAGATGTGTCTCCCACTCTGGGGAACTTAGTTAAGATATTGAATACTGCAAGGGGTTGAAGTATGAAGTTTGGTACTTGTTTGGATTCTTTTCCAAGGTTCAGTCCATATTTGGAGAACCATTTCAGGATCTTTTTTTTTCCTCAGCTAGATGCTTCTTATGTGTAAGTATAAGATGGGATGATGCTTCTGTGATGAAGAAGTATAAGAGTTCTTGGATATCGGCTGTTGTGTAGAAGAAAAATACCTCAAAGGTCGAATGCTATATTCAGAGTTTAGTTTCTTCTGTGTAGTAGAAGATTCTTTGTTACAGTTTCTGAACTTTGCTTCTGTATGGTAGAAGACGGAGACTCTTTTGTGAAGCATGGGATTCTCCATAATTCAGTTGCTAAAGCTTCTCTCTTGTGAAGTAGGGATGAAGTTTACTTTCTTCTGTGTAGTAGAAGATTCTTTGTTACAGTTTCTGAATTTTGCTTCTGTGTAGTAGAAGACAGAGACTCTTTTGTGTAATAGGAGACGCTCAGGAATTCAGT